GGGATGATTTCTGGGTTTGTTTTTGTTGGGTGTGTATTTTGTTCCTTGGTTTCTGTTTCCTCCCTGAAGTTTTGGTTAGTGTGATGCCTCTCTGTTGCCTGGGGGGACATTTCTTTGGACCTGATAGTTGTGGCCCCTTGGGTTTCCAGGTAAAATGTATTTCTGGGTATTGGGGGTTGAAAATCGGAATAGGGATAGGCTGGGAGTCTGATGGGGTTCACAGGAGAAAGGACTGTCCCACCAGGATCTGTTTATTTCATCTCCTTGGCACTGGGCGAGACAATGAAAGTAGGTCACCCTAGAGGGTCCGCTAGAGTGCTGGGGATGAGACAGGGGTGTTGGATCTAGGGGAACAGAAGGAGGAAGGAAAATCTACAGACAGCATACCCATTTCCCTGGCAGGGTTGTTCTGTGTTAGCAGGGAGTTTGGCATTGGGGCTGGGATAAACCAAGTTGGGGAGAGAGAGGCTAAGAGGGGAAGGTCTTTGGGATCCACAGGAGGTGTGAGAAGAGGAGGAAGGAAGGCTTCAACAGACATTCTGTTGCAGAGAAAAGGATGGGACTAGGGAATTGGTCTTGGAGGAGAGGAGGGAATGGTGAAGGTCTTTAGTTAGCATCTCTTTTTCCCTGGCCTGCTCAGCTGGTGTGCTCACAAAAAATGTCTGCTGGTGTTCCAGTTTGGGATACTGGGATGAGTTGTGGAAGGAGGATTGGGAAGAAGATCTTTGCAATTCCTTTGGGATAGGGTCAGAGAGGATAGGGAGACCACAGCAGGTGTTCTGCTACAGAGCTGGGGATGAGAATAGGGGTATTGGATCTGGGGGAGCAGAAGGAGAAGTGTGGGTCTGCCTTCAGCCTCCTTGTTGCCCTGGCAACAGGGGACTTGTTAGCAGGGCTTGCCAGCTGGGGTTGAGAGCTGGGATGAAGCAAGGAGTGAGAGGAGGGATGTTTGTTTGTTTTTAATCTGAAGAGAAGGGCAGTTGTTTTTCAGTATTTAGAATAACTACAGAAAATAGAAACTCAACGTGCTCTTGATTTTGCCTGATTTTAGCAGGAGCTGCTGAATCCTGTTTCCTGCGCAAGCATGTTTCATGACTGTAGCAGGACCTTGTCCTTGTGAATCTGCAGGAATTGTGGTAGTATAAATGATTGAATAGTTCAACACAGCTGAGAAAAAAAGAGGCACGTGAAGAAGGCCTTTGCCTGATCAGCACTGATGGTGTGAAATCCACGCGCACACAGATGTGCTTCTCTGTGTGTGATGTTTATGCTTGTTGGGTGTATGAAGCACAATTAATAAAAACCCAGAGAGAGAAATTTGGGTTCAACATGAAGGTCAGAAAAACAAAGCAGCCAGCCACTGGCTCTTACCTCTACCTCAGTCCAACAGGGCAGTCTTGCCTCCAGGAAGCTCAGAATGAGACTGTGTCTGAGAGCTGTCTCTTCCCGTTTTATAATCCTCTCTAGTTCTGGGATTACAGGTGTGTACTGCCTGGTTTCCACGGTAATTAGTGTGGCTTTTGGGATTAAGGTGTGTGTTACCACTGCCTGGTCTGTAAGGCTGGCCAGTGGGGCTGTCTTACTCTCTGATCGTCAGGCAAGCTTTACTTATTAAAATACAAATGAAATGCCACTGCAGGTGTACATTTGCACGCAGGTGCGTGTAGAGGTCAGAGATCAACCTCAGGTGTCATGCCTTGGACACAAAACATTACTTTTGTTTTTGTTTTAGTTTTCATTGAGACCAGGAATGCTCCAAATGGGCCAGTCTGACTGCCCAGCAAATCCCAGCCATCTACCTGTCTGTGTCTCCCCAGTACTGAGACTACATGCATGTGCCACCACGCCCAGCTTCTTTTAAAGTAAGATTTTGGAGTTGATCTCACACCCTAGTGCTTTTAAGGGAAGCAGTTTACCAACTGACTTACACCCTTAACCTCCTCACGTGTTTTCACTATAGGCTGGCCCAGCAGGCCTGTCGAAGCACTGAGAACCAGCCAGCGAGGGCCAGAGGCTTCCAGTCACACTAGAAAGAATGGGCTGGAGTTCTCTGGGAACTGTCCAGCTCGACAGTGAGGCTGAAGACAAAGCTGAGAAAACCAGACATGGAATTTAAAATGACCATGGGACTTTTTACTGTAATGGGAGATCTCACATGGCTTACTGCAAGCTAAATTAGCGAACACAGTTGATATCTTAGGGACACAATTGCACCTTGGCAGTGCTATACCAGATGATCTAAAATGACAGATTCTTCCCATTTTGATGATCGCCTCAGGGAAGGCTGAAACGAACCTGGCTCTGTTTCTGCAATATGTTTCTCTAATATGACTTCTTGGTCCACTTCACAGTGGGTTTCTATAACCAGGATGCTGACAGTTTTCTCAGCTACAGCCTTATTTTCTCTACAGTTGCTCAGATACCATTTTTCTGGGTCTTCCAGTCTTTAACCAGTTAAATGCTGAAACCTTCGTCTGTCAGCTGACACTAGGAGGTTTTGTAGTATTGGTAATTATTCATTTTTAGTAAGAACCAATGCAGGAGAATACCTTTGTCTGCTATCCAGTTGGTATTCATTCATCTTAAACCACTGTCATATGGACGCCATTCTTAACCATGTGCTCCTCTCATTTGTGGGTGATGTGATGGTGAAGGACTTAACACCTGTTCTGAAGACCAGAGTTGGGATGTCAAATGCTTCAAGCAAAATGGATACAAAACCTAAGAACTTGATTCTAACAAAGAGACCCATGAAAAGATACGAGAGATATTAATCACCAGGGCACCCTCAGCAAGAGGGACTCATTCCATAGTTCCTGCTTAGATCTGGAAGGTGGGGAGTTGACAGGTTGAGATAACCTCAGGCACTGTCCGCATCTCATTTCCCATCTGTCTTTTCTGCTTTTTTTCTGCATAGGTCTCCTGTATCCTCAGTATACTACCCAACCTCCAGAGTAACTCAGCTTGGGTGGCTCGGTCTCTTGTCACCTGTCTAGGGCAGAGACTTCTGTGTGAGGCTCTTTACTGGGCCATCCCCCCACCTCACAAGTGCTCCTGAAGCCCCATCACTGGTTGACTCTGCTAAAGACACAGCTCACCCTGGGGGCTATTATTGGGATGTTCACATTAGAATGTGAGTCTGAGTCTGGCTCCTGGGGGCAGAATTGGAGCCAGTGAGGAACAAGTATAAGGAGAGGGAGTCAACTCTATGTGGAGCTTCGTAAACCTGGAATGGGTCATAGGCGGAGAGATGGTTAGACTCAGTGACCTTCCAGCCTCCCATCACCCGTGTTTTTATTTTTCTTACCATCATTTTGTTTCTTTCCAGCACTGTCTAATGAAAAATCACCCCTTTATGTTACTATTATAAAGAGCCCTGGAGGTAATTGTAGTGCATTGGAACTAAAAACATGCCCAGATTTCAGAGACAGTAATTTTTTCGCATTAGCTTCTTAACCAAAGTCAATTTAATGTGCGTGCTATTTATACATCAGATTTTGTGGTGGTCAGTAGCAATGCCATTCAAGAAAGGGAATGATACATATAGCATAAGTGAGGTGAGATAGCAAGCTGCATCCCACGTCCTCCTTTCAGTCGAAGGAAGATAAGTGTCAGAGCGGCTATTACAGAGGACATTCCAGACACTCCAGTGCCACATTTAAATTCAGGCATCAGCTGGGCTGAGTCATGTAGGGAAGATTTTGTGACGACTCCTGTGATATTTGTCTGAGCTGAAACAGTACTCAGTATTCAGTATTCGGCCTTCACTAATCACTCCATAAGACTTTAACCCTCTGACTAACAAATGCAGACAAAATCCAAACATACCGGGGACGTTTCTATTTCTACTTTTCAATGTGTTGACACAGAAAAGACCAAGAGATGGCAACGTCAGAGGACAATCTGAACTCTAGACCCCTGCCTTGCAGTTTATTTGAGACGGAGCCTTTTGTCTATGGCTACACATGCCAGGTTTGTCTGGAGAGGTTGTGGGGTTTGTGTCCCCACCTCCAGTGCCACTGCAGGGGTTCTGGGATTACAGACACACTCTATAGGCAGCATAACATGGTTCTGGGTCTTCAAACTCAGGGGCTCACCCGGCGTGCTTTTCCACTGAGCCATCTTCCCAGCCTTCTCACCCCAACAGTATTGTCTTCAAATTCACCTAAAGCGCAGTTGGGTGGAGGGGCACTTGGCGAGTCCAACCCCACAGGATTTGTGGGAAAAGGTCTGAAATTCCTAGCTCCAGTTCTTCTCCCTGTGGGGCTGCAGTTCTGGTAACATCAGCTTTCTAAACAACCCTATTGGTGGGTGAGTTTTACTCTTTCTGATAGAGGAGAGGAATTAAATAAACACACTATTCAAGTGCTCCTGCCTGGTGGATTCCATTTAATTAAAGTTTTGTTCCATTTAGTTCCATACTACCTTCCCTGTTTTTTTTTTTTCCCTTACTTCATTGTGTTCAGCAATGCCTTTATTTCCGCTTGCCATCTTTTCCCATCACTTTCAAAACCACCTCTAAAATGGAATGGCCCTACCAAACTCTCTGTTATCTTCGACCTTGATCAAATGCTGAGTTCTTCTTTGTTTGCTCTTCTCAGCCAGTCTTAGATTCTAATGTGTTGATGTCTTTGTAAGAAATGATTCAATACCACAACGTACTGGAGGAGAACAGTCCTCTTCTTTTTTCTTTTCTGATTAGTGTGCGCAATTGTTTGCTTCTATTTAGAAGTAATTCAGATTTCTCTGCCACACTGAAATGTAACTGGAATTAAATTACCCTTTTTTCATTACCCTTGTCCCTTAAATTACTTAAAGTTCTTAGAATTACTAATGCCTGGAAATGCAATAATGTTTGGTTGAAACTAATCATAGAATTTCATATGTATTAAATTCCCTTGTTGATTTTAGGTCAATAATAAAAAGGAAATCTCAGCTTAATAGAATTAACTGACTCCCAATAGTTTACATTCCTTTGTGGTTTTTTTTTTCCTTCTCAGGGATTTTGGTGGTATTCTCCAGTGACATCCAGTACCTCTGCCTGCTGAAGGCTTTGACCAAGGCTGCTCTCAGCTGCTGACATCGTCCTGAGCAAAGGAGGGCGTAGAAATCAGGGGTGCCTTGGGAGGCTTCTGACCGGCGGATCTTCTGAAGGTGAGAGAAGTTGACTACATTTTCTCTTTAGTAGTTAGATTAGTGGATCTGTCTGCCATAATCCGCTTCTTCAGAGAATGAATGGGGAACTGTTCCTGAGAATTCTCTGTATGAATGAAAATGAAGAGATAGAGATTGTCTTTGGGGGAGAAGTTTTAGTTACAAAGTCTGGTCTACATAGTTCCAGGCCAGCCAGAGCTACACAGTGAGACTCTGTATAAAATTAAACAACTCCACCCCTCTCAAGCACATACACACACACACACACACACACACACACACACACACACACACACACACAACCTAAAAACAAGCAAGCAAAGCACAGCAGTATTGGTACATTTCTGAGAATTCTTATGTAGCTAGGGTCTGTCAGTCTTTATACAAACCATGTCTGGCCTTCCAAGGCTCAGATAGCTTAGCTTATATAAAAGTATACTGTAAACTCAAATATTTTTAGGTAGTAAGGATATGAATCAGTGTTACTTGCAATTGTTTATAACCTTCCAAAATACTCTCAAACCTTTCAATATGTTTTCCCCCAGAGTATATCAATAAACCTTGCTTTGTTCTCATAAAGCAATGTCATTGAGCACTCAACCAGTGTCTCTCAAATGTTAGTGATAGATCTATGAAAAACAGTATGACCAACTTCCTTCCGTAGGATAGAAGCATATTGATGGTACATTAAAGACGGCAGCAAGCTTCTAGTATACCCTAAATCTGGAGGATGGTATCTCATCAAGCAGGCTCCACGAGATGAGCCCTGAAATGGCTTTTGAAAGATGAACAGAAATGAGCCATAGAAATAGCAGAGGAAGAGAGGGTACCACAGGCAGGAGCAGTAGGCTAGGGCAATAAAACCCAAATGGGAAAGCAGAAAATTGTACAGCAGTGTGGAGCCTTACATTCTGGTGCATGTGTGTTTGGTGAGGGGAAGCACCAAGATGCTGAGGTGCTGTCAGCTGGAAGTCGTGGGCATCTTAGGTGTATTACTCCAGAGTGAGCACCGAGAACTCAAGGGGATTTAGCAAGTATGAAAGAAGGGAGGATGAATTTTCAAATAGTGTGGGGAATATTTTGGAGAAATAGAATTTTAATAGGAACAGTAAGGAACAGAACAAGAGAGCTATTTGAAGAAGCAAGAATATGATAGATTTGATGATTGATTGTGTTTGGGAGGGGAAAGATCAGGACTTAAGACCTTTGAGTTTCTGACTAGGAAGGCTAAAAACATGATGGAAACTATCAGGGCATACCAGGGGAAAGTAGAATATTTTTGATGAAACCAGGGCTTCAAGGTGGGTAGGGCTATCTAAATAGAAATGTTCGCCTGGTAGCTGGAAGAATAAGGTAGAGATAAAAAGGGAAATTGGGTCAAGAAACAATGAAGTTATAGATCATCTCTGGTCAGTTTTCTGTTACTATTGTAAACAAACAAACAAATAAACACCCTGAGAAAACCAGTTCACACAGAGAAAAGATTTGGTTGGGTCCAAGTTTCAGAGGTTTCAGTCGAAGGTCACCTGACTTTGCTGTTGTTGAGTCTGAGGTGAGGCAGGCAGTTAAGACGGAAGTAAATTCTAGAACAAAGCTGCTTCCCTTCCCTGGGGTGACTGGTAAGCAGAGAGAGGGAGCTAGGGTCTGGGAATCCAATGTAATCTCCTAGGGCCTGCCCCTAAAGGCTTGACTTCTTCCTATAACACCACACCTCCAAGGGTTCCACCACAGTTCTACAGGCCCTCTGGCTAGCCACCACTCCTTTAGCCTTAAACTCTTTAGAGCTGCAGACAGTCCAAACTGCTGTTCAGGGACACAGCTCAGAAGTGGAGTGTTATCCTTGAGTCTATGGGACTGTAGATTCAATCTCTAGTACCACAAAACATGAAGACTGAAAAGAAGGAATAGGATCCAAAGCAGGCAATAACTACAATTCTGTTTAAAAATGTAATTTAAATTAGTACATAAGTGTTCAATATTATTTCTTCACATACTTCAGACACAGCTCCCAGTCTTACCAATTCCCATCCTACCATTATTTGTATATGTAGTTACTGCTCTTTTTTTCTTGGCACAATAGACTAGGATGTTTCCTCGGGACCAACTTGGAAGGCTTTTTAGTTTGAGAAAAAGAACTTTAAAACATTGTTTACAAATGACACAAACCCTAAATTTTGGGAGCACTGCAACTCAGTATCATTCTGCATTTCGATTAGTGCCAAGTGCCAAGCGCGACTCTTTTTCGGTATTAATCATGATGCTTTCCTGTCAATTCCTCATTTCCATTGCCGAGTGCAGTGTTTGGACATTGTTTATAGGAGACCCAGGGCCTTTCTTGAATTCTTCGGTTGGGTGGTACGAGTTCCACCCCTGAGTATTCCTAGCATCTACCCTGAACATGGCAGAGGGATCTGTCGAAACAGAGGTCTCAGTGTTTGAGAGTATGACCACCCCAGTTAGACTGTAGCCATTCACGACTCGGAGCCTTCTTTGAGGGAACGGCATGGGTAAAAATTCTAAATTCAAATAATACTTACAGTTGTGCTATTTTGAGTGACCTTTATTGAATTATTGTCTTCTTAATTAGCTTAATGACTTATTTTCTTAAGATGTACTGGAAATTGCACAGCCCTACTATTGTATCTTTATGGTTCACTTCATTATCATCTTTCCAGGATTGGCTCATCTGTCACTTTCATTTTCAAACACAGAAAATTAAATTAAAGGAGAATTTGGAAACTGCCTTAATCCTAGCAGATGGTACCAGAGTCTCCATCTCTGGAAACACTCTGGCCTTCCTACAGTATTGTGTTTTTCTCTCTTCCTCATTCCAAACCTTTTTGAATTGCATAGAGTGAATTTTCCAGACACATTAAAACAGGGAATTGGATTAAGGGCTGGTTTCCACTGATGGCAATTACTCTAGCTTGTTGCTCTAGACTCACCAAACAGATTTTACATTAATACTTGAGGCTGTGGTTAATGCCTTATAGTTTTGATTTTATGGTTCCTTTTAGTTTTAATATGGACTTTTTCTCTGTACTGGTTCTACCACTAAAAAATGAAACATGGGGACACAATCAAACCACGTGTATCTAAATTCTGGCTGGAAAAAGACACTCGTGTGTTCAGAACTAATGCTTATAAGATGAAGATGTTTCTGACTTGTTCAATGATGCTGGAGTCTGCTGTGGGCTCTATGTATAGAAAATGAATTTGTGGAAAAGCTGAGCTGCTATGACTCAGAACGATGGCTTTTGCATGCAAGCTGTAGGTGGTCGTGGAGACAAGGAGTTACTCTGTGCGCTTCAGGGGATGGCCATTCTTGACTATGAAAACAGTAAGCTCTAAGTCATTAGGGTGTGTGTGAAACAAGTGACTCACTCGTCCCCAAAGCTGCCAGGAGGAAAAGGAGTTTCCACTCTTGTATGCCAGGCAAGGGGCTATTTCTCCCTGCTTCCTCCACTTTGTCTTTCTAGTCTCTCTTTTGATTCTGTCTCCTCTCTCTTTTCCCATCTCATTCACACTTTCTGTGTCATGGACAGGCCAGTTTGATCCCTCCGAAACACAAGGTCCTTTATGGGTTTTGTCTTCAGAACTGGGTGGAAACAGCATATGCTGTGGGAAGGGAAATGGAGCCGTGGGGAAACAGTGGCTTGTGCTGAAGGTTCCTTGGCTACATTGCACAGAGCAGCGTGAACTGGGGAGAACAGATGTGAAAGTCATGTAGATTGAGCTCAAGATGGTATGGCATTATCAACAGGGACAGGGACGATAGAGCTCACCTTTGTGGTGGTGGTGGTAATGTCTGGGATGAGGGAAGCACAGAATGCATAGGCTGGGGTGATTGCTTTCTGCCTAGATCCCAGGTGAGTACTGCAAACACCAGTGTGTGTGTGTGTGTGTGTGTGTGTGTGTGTGTGTGAAACAATGAAAGCAATATGCAGAGTTCATGTTGATTTTGGAGTTGACACTTAAAAGTACTGAAAGTTCTAAGTAGGCTTCAAGATGGTCCTCCTAAGATAGGATTCTGAAGACGAGGATTTTGAGAGGGAAACTGTTGGAAAATGGAAGTCATGGGTGAGTTGACAGGGTGACCGTTCTGACTGGGCAGCACTTCAACAGGCTTGAGTAATTTTTACCGTTAAAGTTTGTCATCCTCTGCCCTCTGTTGTGTGCAGTTTTAAAAAGAAGAAAGGAAACGCTGAGCCGCTGACTTTCGGTCCAAGCTCAATCCCACCAGAGAGGTCACAGACCTCACATCAGTGATTCGTGCACCATTTTGAGAGAGGACAATGCAGTGGATGTCTGGTCAGATAATACCCTACAGCCCTGGAGCTTTCACTCTCCACTGCCTCTTGGCGTTTGGGTTCTTTCAAAATTATTCCTCACTGGGCTTTATTATGAACATTTGAGCCCCAGCAACCACGCTAGTCTCTTGCTGGCCACTCTGAACTGAGAGCAGTGCTTGGAGGTTTTGTTTTTCCAGCACATGATAGAAGAGCCAAGCAGCATAATATGAATTAACGACTCTTCACATTTTCCCATCATATAAGTTAGATTCAGTATCCCCGGGGGATCTATTTTAGATTCATTCCCTAATAAACCATTCCTGCTAGCTGTTGGTTTCCTGCCTTTTTCGGAGCTGCTGCCTAATGACTAAACAGATAACAATGACTAATACACATTCTTATTTTAAACTTTGGGATGCTTTTGATTGTTCTTATTAGAAATAGAAAAATACAATAAAATTTTCCCTTTACAATCAACACTATCGTTATTAATACTATTTGTTTGAGGCAAGAGTCATCTTGAAGAAACCGTATCTTTTTATATGGCTTAGAAAATGAAAGGAAAGATTGAGGATGCAGAACCACACACAGGGTCTTATTCACTGAGTACAGCACCTTCCATATAGAGAACCGCAATTATTGCTGACTGGATAATGTGGACATGTGATAACCATCCTCTTTCCATATTTCGAGTTTTCTCCTTCTCTG